TTCCGCGTGTAAACAAAAACAACGTCGATTTATCGGTAAGCCCACATAGGCCCCTTTTCTTTAAACAGAACAACTTGAGTTAAACCGCGGAAAATATTACTGTTTGTTGATTCTTCTTGTTGATCCTTATTCTTCCTCTTTACTTACAAAAAAATTCATGATATCTTTCACCTGAACTGCTCTAAAATTCTTCAAAATTCATAATTTTCGTTTTGATTATTTTAGTATCCATCTGGTCGACAATGGGTTAATCGTCTGTGTTTATGATATTCTGGTTAATATTACTAGCTAGGTTGGAACCTCAGTGCTGAAGACATAATTGTGTCCAATAAACTAATATATTTTTTACAAGACTGGCTAAGCTTAAGTACTCTATTTAATTTGAATGTTTATAAAATAATGTTTAAGCCAGAGATATAAAAAAAGCAAGCTGCTATCGATATATCGTTTGGTAGAAAAAGGCGACATTTTCGCTTGGGTGTTGTATTTTTCAGCTTTTGGTTGGTTGTAATGAGCGCGCACTTGAAATTGTACCATAGTAGCAATCATTGTGCCCTTTATAAACATTTTTATAAACTTTTAAAGAAGAAGGTATTACGGTAAGAATTGTTTCAAGAAAATATGGATTGATAATTTAGTTAATCGAAGTTTGTAGTGGGGGCAGCAGTCGCATATGATGCTCATCAATCTCGGGCCATATCCTTGCCGACGAATGTTGTCGAGGACGAAGGACAAACCGGAGTCGATGGCATGGCTGCCCAAGATCTCCTGCGTTACAAGGGCCTGCAAATAATTTAATTCATTAGAAAACATTTTGTATGTATGTTTTCTCTGTTGTCTGTTATGTGGAATTCGCAGAATTATTTGATGTGAATGAAATAAAATGAAGAATTTATGATACATATATGTAAGACTTTGTTTTTTGAGATATACTAGACTTAGTTATTTTTTTGTTTTTTTAGAAATGAAGACTCTTTTGTGCATTCATTTAGATACTTTACCATAAAGTCGGTAAATATTACAAGATATGTTGTAGGACCACTCGTATTTATTAATTGCCCGAAAATTAACCAGCCAAAGATATGGAAACCAAATCCTGCTGTGGTCCTGTGCGCTTGAAATTTCCATTTGCAAATGCTGTGGTGCGGCTTCGTTGGGGCCACAATCCATGCCACAATCAACTCAAAGCACTTGCCATGCCAAAATGTTAGCAGACATTCAAAGTCTCCTCTGTAGCCCCTGCACCTCCTATCAATTGGATTTCGGTTGTAGTTCATAAAGTGTGTCTCTGTCAGGATGGGGATGGTGGAGGGGACTTCCTTTTCACATCCTCCTCCGTTTCATTTGCGCCCTGGCGAAGCTCTTTCGGTGTGGTTGACATGGCACGACGGATATACCAAAATATTTCGTTATTGTTTGTTGGAGCTGCCTCCTGCCGCAGTCCGTGCCTCCCCGCTTTTGCCATTACCTGTGGCATGGCTTATTTTGTAAAGCCAAAAGCGCTTAAGTAGTTCATTCCGAGCATAACCTCCTAGACGGGGGTGGGTTTGGGTTCCGTTCCTGGCGCTACCCCTCCCACCCTGCTTAGATGCTTAACAAAATTGCGGCTGCTTTGTGTGATTCCCCCGGTTTTTCTGGTCGCGGCTTAAGCGTGCTCTTGTTCGAGAGTGCGAGGGCATATCAAACATACTTGACTCTGTCAGAGCCCGACACTTACTTAATTTACTCGGAGGTGTTGCCCGGGGATCTTTGAATAAATCTTTGCTTCTGACATGTCGCCAGGTTGGCACCTAAGTAGACACTTGAAAGCGCCTTTGCTTGAGTGGTTGATGCCGCTTTATTGTTGCGGCTGATCTAAAGTTTTCTCAGCCCAATGGAGGATTTTGATTCAAGGTTCAATTGGCAATTAGCTCGGCACTTGACCAACTTGCTGCCTAATTGTTGTAATTACTGGGCTGAAAGGGGTTTCGGACGGGGTGGGTGTCTGTCAATCCGGTAACCACTTGGGAATCAATTTAGCCAGCGAGGCATGCGTTTAATATGCAGCAAAGTACAAAGTACATAGAAGATTCAATTCTACTGCCAAAATCTATAGCCAGCGCACAGCAGGAGGCTGGGTTCATTGAGTTGCTTGACCACACACAGACCAGACCCACACCCACATCCTGGACGCCGTGCACCCTTGCCCCACATAGTTGGTTCCTTGTTTGGAGCTCCTAATTCTACTTGTTTCCCCAGTTTTCCTCCAGTGGGCCCACAAAATCAGAGCTCCTGGTGCCTCTTGTACCCCAATGCTGGTCCCCATTTATAGACTTGTCTTAGGGCTCATTTATCCTCCTACCAACCCCCTTAATGCGGAGGACCTGTGGGTTCCTGCCTGCCGCCTGCATGTGGCCATTTATTTAGCCTAGTGTCCTGTATCCTGTGTCTTGTGTGTGTGTGTGTGTGAGTGTGTGTATGGTTGCGTCCAAATGTGTTCAATTAAGCGGTAATAAATTGTTCATTTGCTCATTGGTCCGCATGGCCATTACAACAACAGCAACAGCAGCAGCATCCAGCAAGAGGGGGAGTCGGAACAGACCAGGATCTATGGCTGGAAGAGACATTGTCGTCGCTGTAATATTTTATTAGACCCAGCAGCCATATCCCATGCCCCCATGCCCCCTATGGTGGTATGTATACATTGATGCATATCCTGCCATTAGCAAGCCTTTTGCATAATGTACAATTAATTTTCCACAAAGTTGCCATTTTATTAATTGCTTTCATTCTATTTCTTTTGCTCTCTTTTGGGTTGCGTTGTTTCTCCACAGTTCGATCACAATTTGGTTAACCCCAAAAGCAAAAAGGCTACCCAAAATCATCAATATCCAGGACATCAGACATCGGGCAGCCGCAAGGCCGAATCGTTTTTGCCACACAAATGATGATGTTGGTGGCATCATCATCCCGATGAATTCTGGCATAGACCGAACTGACTTCACATCAAAATAGAACGTTTTGCGGCTTCTTCTTTTAACGAACAAGTGCCAAAACAGACATTTTCCATTCACCACTTCCGTTCCTTGCACACACTTGCTTGCTTCATGCAACATGTGCCAGTGCCAGTGCTTAGATGTGTCAAATGTCACACAGTGCAACCCGAAAGACAATTGCTGCAAGATACGGGTGCTTGTCGAAAGGAAGTTGTTACCAAATGTTAAATTAACAATGGGATTATGTCGAGCATTTGAGTGTGTGGGTGTTTTTTTTTTGTCTACTTCCTGGTGTTTTCTTATGAGAATGGAGACTCCTTCTGGTTATTAGTTCCCTCTATGTAAGTCTTTCCTTTTCTCTTAGTTTTTTCATAATTGCAGGGATTCCTTCTGGCTTGTGTTTCCTGCAATATTTATCCCGTTCCCTGATATTGCCACTGTGAAACTTCTTCGTGTTTGTTCCCTCTTATATTGATGGGTAGAGGTTTGATGTTTTAAGTGTAGGCCGGATATCTTTATGGGAAATTTTTTCAAGATTTGACAGCTAATAAATCAATCAATAATTTGATTTTTAATCAGATGTAATTACATAAGAGGGTACCTTTAGTACTGGCAATGGTAAAGGCACGCCAGCTATCAAAGAAAGCTATTTGATCTGTCCATCCAACTTCACTTCGCGGTCCTTTGTCCCATATGCAAATGTTGTCTACTCTCGAAGGGCCACCAACAATCACCACAACGAGAAGGTCCAAAATCAATTCCCGTGCTCCCTCGCTAGGTGCAGCGTCCACCTAAGCAAAGGCAAACGAAATTAGTTTGCTGCTCATAAAACTTTGCCACAAAGTTGGCCATGCCACGAAAACCAAGGCTCGGAGTAAGAGTATGTGTGGTGCACACACAATAACTTTTGGCGAGGATGAGGCCCGAGGCGGGGGGAACAAGCCCTACATTCCACTTGAGATTTGAGACTTGAGACATGGAAAGTTTTTCGTGCGGTCCAACCGGGCGGCCAGTTGGGTCTCAGAGCTTTAATTGTATTTCCAGGTGGGAGGCGCTACGGTACAGGGCCGTCCCTCTTTCTAGTCTACGCTTCAATTTCCATGCGTGATAAATGGCAAAAAATGGAAAAATCCCACGTTTGCTTCTGGCTTTTCCTGTTTTGCGCTTCGCGCTGTCCGCAGTGTCCGCGCCAGAGGCAACATTTCAGGGCTTTTGTCTTTCAATTTTGCCCCCAACAAAAAGTCTTCTTTTGGCCAGTTGCGGTGGCATTTGCAACCCACTTTTCCTATAGCTCTACCTTGTCCCAACGTGTAATCGCTTTGTTTGCATTCGCGTTGCATAGTTTTTGTGGGTGGTTCTCCACGCACATAGCTGGGGATTCGGTATCGACATCGGGGCAGATGTGTGCGGATATACCAAGCTATATAATTGGTCCGTTTGGTTCTAACGTGTTCTGCGGGAGTAATTCATTCTGTTTCTGTTCTCCAACGCTGGCTCCGGCTCCGACTGTGGCTGTGGCTGTAGCTCCACGGCTAAGCTGCATTGTTGAAATGTGAAAAGATTTAATTTATTTCAAGTGCGAGCACAAAAAAAGACTTCACTTTGGATTGGTTTCGGTCTGCGGATCCGTAGCTTGATGCGCTCTGCCTCTGATTCGATCTGGAATTGCATTTATTCAAACGTTTCAATTGCTTTTCCGTTGGCTTCAATCTTCGAGTGATTTATTGTGTGGCCCAGCGAGAGAGAAGCATAGCATGGGGCTTCTCTCCATTCGAATGGGAATGGGAATCGTGATTGCGTTTGCTTAGGCATAACAATTATCCGCAGCTAATGTAAACGAAATCAATAATTAAGTTGTGTGCCAAGCCCCGAATTAGTCGCATTACAAAACAATACTGTAAACTGTACTATAATTATGTAATTATATGGCATAACAAATGGTGCATGTTCCCGCTATAAAGGTTCTGGCCACGACCCATATTACGTTTGTCAAAGGATAGACCGTGGCTGGTTCTGGTCGGAGAGATGAAGTTCATGAAGTACGCCAACTTCTTCTACAAAGCTGTAGGTATAGAACCCTATACCACCGATTCCCGACCGCAGGCCAACAGCCTAAAGGCCAGCATCGTCTTCTGGGCTAATGTGCTCAATCTGAGTGCGATAGTAACAGGGGAGATCCTCTATTTGGGTGTTTCTCTGTCCGACGGGAAGCTGCTCGACGCTGTCGCTGTAATGTCCTACATCGGATTCGTTATCGTGGGTACGAGCAAGATGTTCTTCATCTGGTGGAAGAAGCCGGCCTTGAGCGACATGGTGCGCGATCTGGAGCACATCTATCCCCACGGAAAAGAAGCGGAGGAAGAGTACAAGCTGCAGAGCTATCTGCGATCCAGCTCCCGCATAAGTGTGACCTATGCCCTGCTCTATTCCGTGCTGATTTGGACCTTCAATCTCTTCAGCATCATGCAGTTTTTGGTCTACGAAAAGTTGCTGCACCTACGCGTGGTGGGTCTGGCACTGCCGTATACCGTGTATTATCCGTGGAACTGGGAAGCCCCCTGGTCGTATTATATGCTACTCTTCTGCGAGAACTTTGCGGGCTATACCTCGGCGGCGGGACAGATATCTACAGACTTGCTGCTCTGCGCTGTGGCCACTCAGGTGGTGATGCACTTCGATCACCTTTCTACGGTTCTAGAGGGCCACGAACTGAGTGGCAAATGGGAAGAGGATTCCCGATTCTTGGTGAACACCGTGAAATACCACCAGCGGATTCTTCGCCTCTCGGAAGTGTTGAATGATATCTTTGGCATTCCATTGCTGCTCAACTTCATGGTGTCCACGTTTGTCATCTGCTTCGTGGGCTTCCAGATGACAGTGGGCGTGCCGCCAGATATCATGATAAAGCTCTTTCTGTTCCTGTTCTCGTCGCTCTGTCAGGTTTATCTGATTTGCCATTACGGACAGTTGATTGCCGATTCGGTATGCCCTCCTGAGATGTTATTTCCGTCTTCAAAATCACTTCCCTTTTCTGTCTTTACAGAGCTTGGGTCTTTCTAATGCTGCCTACAAACAGAACTGGAACCACGCCGACGTTCGCTACCGAAGGGCTTTGGTCTTCGTAATAGCCAGGGCCCAGAAACCCGCTCATCTAAAGGCCACTGTCTTCATGAACATCACGAGGGCCACTATGACAGATGTAGGCTTCTTAATATCTATTCTTCCAATCCCTATCTAAATGCTTTTCTTGTGTGTTTAGTTACTTCAAATATCATACAAGTTCTTTGCTTTGCTGCGCACCATGTATGTGAAATAGAGACCAGAGATGACCAGAACGCAGACGAGAAGAGATCCCTAAATCCCTAAGCCCTGCTCTGTACCTCCTGCCTCATGCTTTCAAAAGCTCAACGGAAAAATAATTATGCGAAGGCATGAGCCACACGCATGTCCATTCTGGATGTTTCAACACGAAAAAACTTGCATTTCAGTCGTTTTCCTCATTCTATGCAAAGACCAAGATGGGTAGATGCTGCAACAAAGGAAAACTGCAAAGTTAATTTAACGCTTCACTGCCCCAAAAGTTGTGTTCATAAATTGTTAGTGTTCTTCAGCTGGCGATCCATTGGATAACCATACAATAAAGCTGTCACATGAACCATAGATTGTAAAATATGTACAAGAAAAAAGTTGGAAAAGCCAACGCAAGCAGATTTTCATTGGGCGATCTTCTGAATCAGGTCAGTTTGTCTAATGGGTTTATATTAAATGGTTTATGTATTAAAATAAGCGATAGAAACGCACACGTTCTACAGCTGTATTTGGGCGCGTATTTAAGCATTTTATTGGGAATTCAGCTCTTGCGTTGCAACCCTGCTATCGATTGGAGCTGCGCAATCGATGTCCTGATGCCGATTGTTGCGTCGCAAAGGAAAGGCGTAGCTTTCATATTGTCATATTGTATTATTATTATTATACCTTAATTTGCCTTTTAATAAGAGTGATTGGGTGGTGATTGATTTGGCATGACTCGGTATTGTGTGCAATGTCTTTGATTGGAAATGTCATTGTGTACGGCGTTTTGATGGTTTTCTGCAACAGAAGCTTGAGCGTCAGCGTGGCTCGAAGCTGGTGATTTTTGCTTGTATATTCGGTAAAGATTACACCTCGTCATCGTCCTGATTGAAGTGATCATAGACATGGCGAATCACATGCAGTCCCACGTAGGAAAACGCCAGGTAGTTTATGTATATAAACAAATCACTCGTGAAATGGACCACGTGCATAAAGTAAGTTAAAAGTTCTGTTGCACATATACAAAAAAATGTATATACATACATATTGAATGTGCATTAATGCAATTATAACTTACCCATTGTCACGCTTGATTTTCTCTTATTACGTAAATTTATACAAGTCAACTCAACTTGAATGAAATTTCATGGCACTTGAAATAAATTATGAGTATTATCATCCTATAGTTACAGGTAAACGTCATTTAAAAAACTATGAACACCAGGCGAAGCCTACTACGAGTATATATATGAGTATTATAAGTATGAGTTTGAGCTCTGAAGGAAACACGGCAAATCGTTTAGGAATTTACCCCTGCTCTTGGATGCAACAGCTGCACCGTCTCAAAAAATCTCAGAAGTGGGCGTGCAGCGTACCTCATTATAATGAGGTATTTGAAATGCATTCTCTTATTTTTGTATTTTTTATTAATATAACGAGTATATTAATTGATTATCATATGAAACCAGAAACCCACTTGGAACCGCTGCAGCTGTTAGAGGAAATACCAGAAATGACCTGAGCTTTTCACACATAATCCGCATATCGATGACCTTGTAAAGGCCAACTTAATGATACCTCTGCAATCGCGTTGCATGACAAGTCCCCTGATAGATGGGGCTATAAAAGAGCCAAGGACTGCCACAGAGGCTCATTCAGTTCAAGGAAGGACAACGCTTCGCAAGTTCAGTTCAGGGAAGGACAGGAGTAGCTCAAATAATGACATATCTTTGCTCAGAGATGGATAAGTTCATGAAGTACGCCAACTTCTTCTATACGACCGTTGGTTTTGAAGCCTACGCCACCGCGTCCCGACCGCCGAAAGACAGTCTTAGGAACAGGATCGTGTTTTGGGGGAACTTGGTGAACCTGGCGATTGTGGGAAGCGGCGAGGCAATCTATTTCTACTTGGCCATACGCGCCGGAAACCTTCTGGAAGCCGTCACCGTGATGTCCTACATTGGTTTCATCATCGTGGGCGTGAGCAAGATATTCTTCATAATGTGGAAGAAGCCAGCTTTGAGCGCTATGGTGCAAGAGCTTGAGGATCTGTTTCCGCGCGGAAAGGTGCAGGAAGCACAGTTCCACCTGGAGGACTATCTGCGCTCCTGCTCGCGCATCAGCTTCAACTATGGTCTGCTATATTTCGTGCTCATCTGGACCTTCAATCTCTACCCCATCATGGAGCTGATTGTGTTCGAAAAGTGGCTGAAGATTCGAATAGTGGGCAAGACGCTGCCCTATCTGATGTACGCTCCCTGGAAGTGGAATGACAATTGGTCATACTATCCGCTGCTGGTCGCCCAGAACTTGGGTGGCTACACCTCGGCAGCGGGACAGATTTCCACCGATCTCCTGCTCTGCTCTGTGGCCACCCAGGTGGTGATGCACTTTGATCATTTGGCGAGGTCAATGGAGAACCACAACCTAAGTGGTGATTGGCCGGAGGATTCTCGTTTTATTTCCGAGGTAGTGCGCTATCATGAGCGGATTCTGCGTCTATCGGATGTCGTGAATGATATCTTGGGAGTCCCTCTGTTGCTGAACTTTATGGTCTCTTCGTTTGTGATCTGCTTTGTTGGTTTCCAGATGACAGTGGGCGTCTCCCCGGATATGATTACCAAACTGTTCTTGTACCTTGTCTCGTCGATGAGTCAGGTGTATCTGATTTGCCATTACGGACAGATGGTTGCCGATGCGGTATGTTAATGATTATTTCTTCCATCTTTGGCTCTCAGTTTTTTCTCTCAGAGCTTCGGCCTGTCTGTGGCGGTGTACAACCAGAACTGGAGCCACGCCGACGTTCGCTATCAACGCGCCCTACTCCTCATCATAGCCCGAGCGCAGAAAACTACGCATCTGAAGGCCACCATCTTCTTGGACATTACCAGATCCACCATGACCGATGTAGGCACTGAGTAGACTTTTGTTTCATATATTTTCTGAAATCGTTTTCATGGTTGTTTTTTTTTCAGCTCCTTCAGATATCGTACAAGTTCTTTGCTTTGCTCCGCACCATGTATGTCCAATAGAGGACCCCAAATCCCTAAAACCTTCTCCATGCACCCACTCCTATGCTTTCAAAAGCTCAGCGCGAACTTAATTATGCGTCGGCATGAGCCTTACACACACATGTCCATCGCATTGCTGCTTCAACACACAGGAAAAAAAGAAAAAGAAAAACGCTGCGTACTTTTTAGCGGTCGCTGGGTGACGTTGAAAAGGCAATTCTACGAGTACTCCGCAATGCTCCGCACTGGAAAGGAGAGGAAATATCGTATGTGGGCTACAACAGAAAATTGCAAAGTATATTTTACGCTTCACTGCACAAAAGTTGTGCTTATGAGTTTTCGCTTGGTTATTACGCTCTTTGCAGGAGGGTATTTGAGAATTTAAGAAGGGTTTGCTTGCCTCCTATACAAGGAATAGTTAATGTGGGGAGCAGTTTAAGACTTGGGTTCAAACGGATCGTTTGTGGGGAGGAACATATTGAGGGAGCTAGAGGTTTGGAATCGGAAAGTAGTATATCTTATCGATACCTGAATGAACTCTCGTCTACAGATTCCACTTGGAACTGCAACGACATCTGGAGGAACCATCCAGGGAACTCTTCTCTTGGGAAGAGGTAAACCGTCTAACACTTAAAAGTTATTTAAAGCCCGCATCCCAAAGGAATCCTTATTTATAAAAATTGATCCCTCAATAAAGTAACTAGTTTTCTTCTATGATAAATAAACCTACAGGTTCTACATGATCTTCCATTGAAAATGCGCACTTTAGGGTATTACAAGTATCGGTTATCAATAGTTAGTCTTTAAATCTTGTTGCTAGTACTATGGTAGTTTTCTTACAATTTTCAGCTTTTCTCAGGGAGAGGAGTGAGTGGAGTGAGTCGGGTCTGAAGGCAGTGGACAGCAAACCCCTTTGATGACATCTAATGCAGTTTTTCCATGGGTAAAATGATGTGTGGCGGTGTGGCTCGGGGAGTACGAGTACGAGCACTCCTACGCACTCAACAATATTAGCAATTTACGCGCTGAAGCGTGTCCAGGCAGAAGGAAGAATGGAACTTTTGGGGTGTAAAAGGAAATGGGAGTTCTTTTTGCCCCATAACATTTTCATTTTTGACGAATCTCCACGACATCACCTGCACGGCATCACCCCCACCACCCCTGGATAGTTGTTGTTTGCGAGAGCCACGTGCATAAAATATATTAAAAATCTATTTTTTGTCCAATGTCCTGCCAGCATTCGTCCCCTTTCCCTGCCGCTGTCAGGACCTGACATATTTTTTTGTGTAGGCGATTTACTTCCGTATTTTTTTTTTTTGTATGTGTACATAGATATCTATTTTTGTGATTTTTTGTTGGCTCTTCTTTTTAGGGAGGGATTTATTTTTCATTTTTGTGAAATTTTTATAAAGCTCCCAAATGTGCTACAATTTAATTTCTGGTCACGTTTTGTGTGATTCTCAAATGGGCAACAGTTACGGCCAACATAAAAAAGCAACCAGCCACAGCAACAGGATGGGGCAGGGCGCCTAAAAAAAGATACTTTCAATATCTACCGCTGTCGCATTGCATAATTTAAGGCGCCATAAACATGGAACACGTTTATTAGGACCGAAATCCATGGCAAGAGTCAGAGATCATATCCGGTCAAGTCAATTACTGATACTGTCAGAGTTTTGTGTTCTGTAGAATTTAGGGGCTGGCTGGCGATTATATGTGTATTTAAGGTAACTGAAATAAATTGAAATAATTGTATTATTGCAAGTATAAATCAATAGTTTATTTAGCTAATTGGAAACAAGGCAGAAATATCTTCATTTGTTGGGGTTGTGGTCACTCTGTCGGGCTCCGCATTGTCTGTGTCTGATTTTGGGGTCAATGGACATTAAATATAAATATTATTGGTACCCGGAACTGGTTCCTGAGCTGAAAATAAAAGTATTCAATAGAATGATATAGCTTTAATTGTTCTCCAGATCAATGACGAATCCGGCTCGAAGGAACGAATTTTAAATTTAGACTGTTGTATTTTCAAAACTTATGCACTTTATATAGGACTACTATAACGTAATTAAAGCTAAGACCAATGCTAAGAAAAGGAACGATGTGCGGCTCTTGTTCCCACGCTTAACCCTTCTAATGATACCCACTGCCTGTATACCTCAAGTGTTAATAGATTTTGATTCGACGCGACCCAAGTATATGATTTTTATGGAATGGCCTGTGTTGGATCTAGTTCTCTGTTTATGAGCACTAATTAATGGAATAAATAATTTAATTTGCTTATAAAAATACATAAATTTGTCACCAAAAACCAACAAAATTAAATACAACCAAGTCCCACTATTTGCTCAACTTCTAAAACCAGTGCCATGACGATTTCCACATGATTTCCCCTCACATATAATCGACCTTCAGTGCCACATAATCCAGTCCCTGGCTCGGCTATCAAAATAAATACCTTTGTAATTTATGAGCAATTATGAATTTACGTACACATTTGCATGCAAAATTCAACCCAACAAGCAGATCAAAAATTGAAAGCCACAAAAAAGCACCCATTGTTTTTTTATTTTCCCGTCCACCCAACTGGTTGTTAAATCCACTTATCAAAACGTGCAAATAACTCAACTCAGGGGATAGGGACAAACACACGACGGCAACGGCAGGATAACGGAGAAGGAAATGGAGGAAACTGGCGACCATGATGACCCAGTGGGGCGTGTTCAATGACCAATTGGCAAAAAACTGTTGGCACTGCAACAATAGCGACAGCGGCAGCAGCAGAGGCAGCAGCACAACAATCAGGAAAAAATGTGCCCCAATCGCTGTAGAGACTTGCAGGGATCGAAGTGCATTATTCTTGCCACATTTTGGTGCATGGGCGGACGGGCTCTGTTTTTTCAATTAGCTGCCATTAAATTGAATTCAAATATTGAAACAATATGTTGGCTCCGTCGGCCGAAACACTCTTTCCGCAACCATTACCCCTCGCCGTTCCAGCGTGGGATTTTAGTTTCAGCTTAGCATTCGTTACCCCGCACCCCTCACCGCCACACTCTTTCGTTTTCCCCTGTGTCCTCTGATCTGGAGTGATTTATTGATTTTGAGTGCAGTTTTTCTTGTCAAAAGTTGACTGCGGCTCATACGCTCGACTGTCCACAGAATAAATATATATATTTTTTTATTTTTTAAATGCCAGTGGCAAAAATCGCACCAAAAATGTTTTCCATTTTCATTTAGTTTTTGGTCAAAGGAATGGAAAAATCTCTCTTCCCCACCCACTCTTTTTCTCACTCTCTGTCTCTGAGAAATGTGTGAAAATCCGCACGTATCTATTTGTGGGAATATTTTTCAATGGTCAAAATATACATACATAGATATCTATGCACAACTATAAATGGAGACTAAAAGCCTCTAAATTAGTCTGCTCGCATTATTGGCCATACGCCCTGTGGTACGTACCAGCCGCTGCGGCAAATACTGATATTTCTATGGTCTATGCATTAAGCAAATGGTTGGGTTTGGTGTTTTATGAATATGGACACCGCACAAATGGCCTTCGAGAGAGAGTGACTTTGGTGGTTCCTTTATTGTGTATTGTGGCTTTATTCGATTGATGATTGCTGATGATTTAAGCATTGGCTTATTGATTTCTTATGGGCCATTAATAGAGGATTCCATCCACTAATAGCATTCATATTTGAAACGATTTGTCAATGCAGTCGAGCATTAGTCCTGCGGATCCCATATATGGTTAATTGTGACAGTAATGTGAGCGATACAAAAGGATGAAAAAGCGGAAATATATATGTGTGCAAGAAAAATGTATGCATACACATGTACATATGTGTGTGTGGGGAGGGGGGTGGGTATAAGCAGAGCTTAGAGCCTAAGTAGGTTGCTGAGCCTCCACGCAGAGAGAGAGAGAGAGAGTGAGACACAAAGATGCCACAAAGGCGCGCGGCTTGTATGCGGAAAGATAAGCGAGAGGATTTCATTTGCTCATTACTCAACAGCTTACTACAGGGAGAAGATCCGAGAGGTATGGGATGTGCAGGAGGCAGGAGGGGAATGGGGTGTGTGGCAAGAGGAGTACGACGTATGGGGTGTGTGCGGCAGTGGAAGGCACTAGGCGCTACGTTCCCCAGACACAGATGAAGAAAAGGAAACACTAAAGGCGGCTCATAAGAAATGCATGTGCACATAATTCATTTTTTATGCTGGCTTACATTAACCACACGTGATAAAGAAAAAAAATAAGTAGCTTTGAAGAAAGAATATGCAGGTGCCCTTAAAGATGTATTGTATTTATGGAATCAGCGGGATAAATCTGTCAAAGTTTGATCCGTTTTTGAAGACGAAAACGATTAAGTTTAAATAAAGCAGAAAGAGAAAGTTTTTTTCACTTTTCGATAGATTCTTTCATTTATATAGTGATCCGATATTGGCGATATGTCTTATTTAATGAATGGAAAAAATTTGTTGGGCAGAGTTTGGGCAACTGAAGCCGTCGATAAATGTTGTCAAAAATTAGACCTTTCTTCGTGGCAAACAACTCATCACAGCCCATAGTACCTTCTAGAAGAGCATAATGACGGCGGGACTAGGTACAGTTACATGAGTTACACCCACCGCAACCACCTTCACTCACTTACACAAGCGAAAAACTTGTAAGAAGAAAATTTTGAGACGAGAGAGACGCCTTGTCATCGTGCTGCTGCTGCTGCTGCTGCTTCTCGTGCTCATCCTGCTCCTGCTACTGCAGCGCTTCTCTTGCAACGGAAACGGAAGCGACATCCAAGTTTATGTTAAAGTTTGATGCAAAACCCCCAAACTCTCTTACTGGGACGGCACACACCTAAGTAGCTGTATGGATGTGTGGCGGGCAAAGTTTCACTCCGTCTCTCTCTTCTCGTGTTGACTTTTGTGGCTCCTGTAAGTGTTGAGACTTGCGGTGGTGTCCGTTGCATATATACGTATATACCTGTATGTCGCATGTGTGTGTGCGTTGCAGGTGGTAAGGAAATTAAATCAGCTTCGTGCGCCGTGCACATCATTAGTATGTATAGAGAAGAGAGAGGCCCTGGAGCTGCGGCTCTGCCTGCTCCTGATGATTATGATTGCCTTTTCTGATGGTGGTTTTGGTTGGGTTTCGTTCGCTTCCTGTCCTGTCCTGTCCTGTCCTGGCCATATAAGTATGCCACAGTTTTCTTATTGGCACTGCAAATTGAGTTTTCAGTTAAAGCGGCATCCTTCTTGATTAGTCGTTGCATACTAAATTGACTTGCATCTC